AGCATTTCAGGTCCCATTACATAGCCCTATCAGGTCACCCACTCAACTGTGCCACATGGCGCCATCCTCCCAGAGCTGGTGTGTGTTCTGCAGCCCAGGGCATGAGACAGTCACCTCTTCAGATGTTGTTTTCACTGATGACTTGAATCATAGATGTGATGCCACCAAGTAGGACAGGCTTCTTCAGTCAGTTCATTTCTGTGGCAAGGAAGCGGCCTTTGTATGCAATGCTTTACCTGGAAGAGGGCAGTTTGGCATAACTGCTGCTAAAATGGCTTCCCTTTGCCACACAGAACAGCAGATGCATCCCTAGAGATGGAAGGCAACTACTTCCCACAAAACTCTGGCTGTTCAGTTACTTTCAAGCTGTTGGAGATGGGATGAAAAATGGTGATCCAGCATGTCCCAGGGCAGGAATAATATTCAAGGTGCCATTCTGCCTACCAGTGACTTGACAAAATTGTCCCTGGTTGCTTTGGGTTCTTCCTCCTCCCCTTAGTCCTACTCACTCATGGTGGGAGCAGAGCTGCTGCACTCAAATTCCTCAAGCTCTGCTTTGAGAGCAGCAGCACCACAGAACTTCATGCATTCTCTGCTGGGAGTAGCAAACCAAAACCTCTAGACCTTTTTTCCCAGTCCAATTACCTATGCAAAAAGCCATGTGGCAGCCATCGCTGCCATAGAGCCATTCCAGCTAAGAGCCTCTGCAGGAAACTATTTCCTTCCCATATATATGTGATTTTTAGGACAACTGGCAAAATGCTGCCAAAATCCCAGTAGTAGATTGGTTTCACTCATATAATGTGGAAACCTCCAGCCCCGATACGAGCTAAGCCATAAGAAACAGGCACTTCCTTGCTGTGCGGTTTTTTTTCCGGCTGGACATAAGCCTGCTGCCACTTCCTATTTACATCTGAGAGAGCTCATCTTGCTCGATTCATATTGAGCCTCCTCCCAAACAGGAAGGTCTTGCATGAAGATGCACATGAGCTTCCTGGCTGTTAGGCATTCTGCGCACAGGGCTTCCCCATTTCTGAATTTCTCATGGGTTTTGTGCAGTTGCTGCTCATTGGTGAACTGAGCCAGAGACTGCTGCACAAATAGGCTGACAGTGGGCTCCGTGCATTCCCATGCCTGACCTGCCTGTACCCATGACCACCACAGTTCACACATCCTTTTGTAATTCACTCAAATATTGATGACAGAGGGTTTTAGGAGATGTTGAGGAAATTTTACAGGGCTTGGTAGGATGATGTTTGAGCAAAAGCATATTATTAGATAAAGTGCAGCAGTTTTCTTAACAAAGTTATCCAATATTATAAGAAAGCTTGACAGTTGCTTTTTAGGAACCCTGTACCAATTGCCATTATTTTCTAAAAATACAGACTTGCTATTGCCCACCACAGATACTGCTGGCTGTCCTCACACTGCAGGAACTGTCAGATTTCAGTGGAATTTTTTAGCATAACTCCACAACTGTGACCAAGTAATTTTCTGAACCACTCCTTTTCTCAGTGTCTTCTGGACACTGCTTTCTCTTCCCAGCAACTCCTTGCTCAGATGTTCACCATCTCTCTCTGACGCATGCTTGTTCTTGCTAGCATTACACCCTCCACAAGGTCCACAGAAACCCACCACTAAGTCACTCTGAGCACCTCAGTCCTTCTCTCAGTCCTCTGCGTCAGCCTAAGGTAAGTGACAGCCTTCTGTCATGGCAGCTGGTGTGCTACAGGGGAAAAGCTCAGTCCAGTAACACCTTCTGTTCACTCAACATCTGAACAACACTCCTAAGACTCCCTGAGCATTGATCATATACTACCCTTACCAAGCCGCTAAAAAAAAGCTGAATGTAGAAATTTGATGCACAAAAATAAACCCAGGTTTTAGTCTGCAGAAACAAACCACAAGCTGTTAACCAACTTACATTCCTTAATTCAAGTGAGTAATATAGCTTTGCAAGAGCTGCTTACGAACCTCCTTCCCAAAAGATAAAAAGACACAAATGCCACAAGAAAACAGTGCATTGCATCTAACGAGCAACCTAAGGCTCTTGAAAAGCATTTGCCTCAAAGTTTTGCCTGGGGTCCTCAATGAGGTCTGTGTAGCACCCTGCTGTCTTCAAGAGCACTGCAGAATGGCCTTGCACATCCTTCTGCTCAGTCCGAGCCTAACTCTTTTCCAGGCAGTGCATGTGAAAAAACCTATGCTTTCTCATTAAAGAGTTTAAAAGAAACCGAGAAATTACCACGTAGGCTCAACTACCTGGTGCTGGCTCCGTCAGCACATTTTGGCCCTTCATGAACTGTGCCACAATGTTCCATGGATTACTATACATGACAGTAGGCCAGTAACCAAGGCTTTACCTCTGGTAGGATTTGATCTCATACTGAAAATCCAAGGCAGTACTTACATCAGAAGTGGGCCTAGTGTTAATAGATTTATTTTGGTATTTTAGTGAAAACCTTTTGTGTATATTTGTCAGTGCTGAAGGAAAGGAGTGCAAAAAAATCATAACTACAGAATAGTATAAATGTTTATTTTTCTTTGTGATTTATCTGACTTTTATTTGTACAATATAGAAAAGTGTATTCTTTGAATAGGTCTAGTAAATATAAATTTATTTTTTCTACTTTCCGATGTAAACAGAACTAGAAAATGAACCCTTGCCCCACTCCCAATTATTTTTATGTAACTGGATGAACTTCACGGTAAATCTTGTCCAGCAGTTTGATGCAAATGGCTAAGGAAGTACAAAAACCAATTCACACATTCTACATCAGGGAGAGGGTAGAGAGGAATCCAAGCTTAATATTTGAGAAAGCATATTCAAAACAAAATAGAAGAACTAAGAGAATTTGATTGCACCTTCAAAGTCTTTACAAGCAAAATATTCTCAAGCAATGCCATTATACATAATTACAACTGTAATCTAAATTTCACAAGTGTTTTTGCACACTGTATATAAATACACATCACAAAAGGTGCAATTTAGAGTAAGACAGAATATATACAAAATTAACATGGATTGAAGTCTAAACAAAAGAAGGCATATTGCAATCTGAAAAATAACGTAAGTAGGTATTACTTCATTCACTTACACTAATTTACATTTATACAAATCTTACTGGACATACTATATTAGGTCACTAGAAGTAAACTGAGTATCTGCACTAACTACATGTAAAGTTACTGCACTGATTTTTTAGGAAATCCAAGTCCCGATCATGAAAAAAATGGCATTTACTTACATGAGAGGTGGATTCCGTTTTCAGAGATTTGCACAAATGAACTTGCTATTTATGCTCAGGGAGATGTTCATAGGAGACAGAGCCCTTCAGAGTGTGACTGGCAGGTCAAACCTTGTCTGCAATGGCCACTCAACAGGCCTGCCACTGCTGCTGGCCGCCTCCCAGGCCCTTCGTGCCCCCGAGGCATTTCAAGGAGGCACCAGAGAAGGGTCAAGGAGAAAGGGCCTTCTGCTTAGTGCACAGGACCATGGTGTGAAGACAGGAGTGGAAGCATCCTCCTATTCTATTGCCATCGCACATGTAGGCACTTAGCTCTGCTGCTGGTTTGCCTAGCCCCTACCTTTGCTCAGCCTGCCCCCGCTAGAAAGCCCAGAGAAAGAACTCTGCTGCATTTCTCTGTATTTACAGTTTTACATGAAGAATACAAAATCCCTTTTGGAAAAGCCTAGCTAGTTCAGGCTGCAGTGAGACAGGTAATAAAAATGCCTGTGATTAAACGTGGTTATTGACGTTCATGGTAGGTAATTAACCTACCAGGTTAATTTTGCAAACGTGTTCCACTATCAAAAATGTGATCTGAGATTGCCTGTAACACATACTGAAAAAATCCCCTGTCCTAGTCTATACACAATTATAGTTGATTTCCCCTGCCCCTCCTCCCCCGCCCCACCCCCACTTTGTGAAAAAGAATCCATTCATCTGTTTTGGTAGCAATCCTGATTCTGTGCTAGCATCCTCTCTGATCATGGCTCTCACAGTTGTTCTAAACAACACTAAATAAAACCTTAAGCCAAGCAAATTGCCAACATACAGAGAAGCAGCATCCTGAAGACCCACAACCAGGCTGAACATGATCCCTACCTGAGTCTGCAAGTCGATTTGGATGCAGATTGTCTCAAGTCCTCATTAAGACAACTGTGGTTCCACTGTCTCCCATGACCTTAGCTTCTCACACTTAAAAGACTTTTCCAGGGTTACAGCTTGATCCTAGAAAACACAATGGACTGCACAGCCCTACCTCCAGTGAGGGATTTTAGGCTGCTGCAGACCTCTGAAAAAACAAGCCTCACCTAAGCAACAGCATCCATCTGCTACACACTTGGGTAACACTGTACACTGGGCAGAGTTCAGCATTGTGGTGTGGCTGCTCTTCCTCACTTCTAAGGACAGGCTAGTGCCTTAGCCTTCAAGTTCCAGCTTCAGAAACACCTGAGCTCTCAGCCACATTCCTATCAAAATCTTCCTATTAATTCCACTCACCACTAAGTTCCTTGGGCCCCACTCCCGCAAGCTTCTCCACCACGTGCCCAATGCTAAATCTGCAAGCAACTCCCTCTTTGCATTATTGCCTGTGTATTTCACAGCGCTCCATGCATTAGAGGAATGTGCTGTGTCAGATCCTAAATACAAGTACTACCTTCCGTTTAGATGCTCATTCTTACACACTTCCTTTCAGAACTATGTTGGATACACTGCTAGCTCTTTATTACAGGCCTGTCGCCAAAAGCATCACCTGGCTGTTGACATCACCTGTGTTTTCCTGTATGCACAAAGGAATGCAACTCCACACACTGTAAATAATATATATTATAATAATTTATATATGCCCTTTAGGCAATTATTCTGGGGGAAAGGGGAGTACACAACTAGTTTTTAAGAAACCCAAAGTAAAAGCTGTACAGCAGGAAGAATTGACCTTTAGGCATTGTCTTAAGTAGAAGAGGATTTAGCTAAGATTTAAAAGGCTCTACATCTTGTTATAAAAGATTTTCTTGTTTCAGTCTTATGCAGGTCAATTTACAACAAGCACCAAATTAACAAATATTATTAAATCCTCTATGCCAAACCAAAGTGTCCCTGTGCCTTAAGTGTTCTGTTCAGTCTGCTTTGTTGTGGCTCATGTGCATGACTCAGCAGTTCATGGCACAAGGGTCACTTCTGGACTTCCCTGCAGAGTTAATCACTCTCATCAAACAGCGTCCAAACTCCTCCAGTATCATGCGCTCTGCTGCAGCTTTTGACTTGCCCATCTTCTCCGCTTGCTCTGCCTGTGCGAGAAGGCATTCGCAGGTTGCATCAGCTACCTCCTTGGTTACAAACGTAAAGGGCAGCCTGAAACAAAGAAAGATCCACTCGCTGTCAGCAAAAACACACAATGCACCTAACTCCAAGGCTGGGCCACTTTTTAGTACAAGATGAGATTTCATCTGTCCCATTGCTTCCAAGAGCCTTTAGATATCCAACAGGGAGTGAATAAGCCAGTTACAGTTAAATGAACTGGTGGGCCATTGTGCTTTGGTGCCTGCTTCCACTGATGTACGTTTTGAAGTAGACTTTGAAATGCCCAGGTGCATAGAACAATTCTCCAGCTTTTACTATAAGGGCAGCTCAAGGATTATATCCTCTCAGTAAACGGACACTTGTACTTCATGCTTTCTGTGACCAAATGGGCAACCATGAGAAGACAACGCTTAGTTACGTGCTTGAACAGAGCTAAGCTTGGCATACCCTAGGTTCCACAGAAAGCACAGTTGCATGAATGAAAAGCTCCATTCGCCTGAGTGCTCCTGCTTCTACAGCTTACACAGGTAACATTCAAAGATGACAGGGACATACTTGTCACATACATGAGAAAAACCATGATAGAAGCAACTGAAACAGGGTGCTGCATTAACTTACTTCCCACCACCACTGCTGAGTGCTGGTGTTGGCCTTGTCAGCAGATCTGAGATCTGGGAAGATAACTTGGTCTTTGCAGCCGTCTGCTGCTGGACCCTAACTTCTGCAGCATCTGCTAAATGCATCAATGTCTTTCGCTCTGGGCTTTCTTCAAAATTTTTACAGCCAATGCATTTGCATATGGAAGAACACATGATTTTTGCCTGAAAGAAACAAACAAGACATGAGAAACCTGTTGCAACCTTGACTACCTTTATGACAAGCCATAGCGGAAAGGAGATCTTGTTTTAATCTCTTATCAATTAGCCGCTAGAAGAAACCTCCAAGTAGTAGTTTTCTCTCAAGTCTCACCTCAAACTGAGATGCCTTCCCAGAACGTACACTTGAATCAAATGCAAATCAATCATTTCCCACTCATCCCTTTCTTCACCAACCTGTTTCTGGTGGAATTTAAGTGGTTGAGGTATGAGAGGGGTCAGTCTGCCACTGTCTCTACAACCACAGACTGATCAGTTAGCTAAGGCAACAACAACTTTTGCTTTTGTCTTCCACAGACATATTCTATCGCAGAGTGTCTGTGGGATGCTGCTTTAACTCCTCCTAGGGACTTGGCACAGTAGACTTCTTTAGGAAATACTGCTCTTCAGTAAAGGACAAATCCAAGCCCAAGTTCAAAGTTGCTACATAGTTTAAAATTAAACTTATACAACAGAAGTGATCTATTTTGCCATACTCATGGCTTTCTACATGCAAACTGTTGGAAGAAGAGATAACATTATAGCAATAGAAAAAAAGAGAAAACATTACAGCAATACAAAGAAGAGACAAAGTAAATCAGAGAAGTCACAGCACTAAAGGGAAAAAGCCAGTATCTTTAAGATGAGATAATGCTTTGTACCTCATAACATTCGCAGTAGTTTTTGAGACATCCCGAGCGTTTACAGTTACACCCTTTGCTGTGCCTCCGATCCGATTCTCCTTCCTTTCCCTTCCCTATTTTGGGCTTGAAGGCTTCAGGGTTTCTGTCAAGGCAGGCCTGTCAATGCAGACCCAAAGGGTCAGTCACTGCATGCAGGGAGCAGAATTTAGAGGTGCAATAAAAGAACTTAAGCCTTGCATAGTGGGAGGCGATCAGGGCATTATAAACCCACTCTGCCCTGTGCCGTAGCTTCAGAAGACACAAGCTAAACTGCTTTCATCCCAGGAGCAGGGGAAGAGGCCCCTCACCTTTATTGCTTTTTGCCTATCATTTTCATGGTCCAGGTTGTTGTAACAGTTTGTACAGTTGCAATTATTGCAGAATTCACCGTTTGCAAAACAATCACAATACCTGAAACAGAAGAGACAGAAGGCATTTGTAAACATGACCATTACATTGGCATTAGTACTGATGGCAGCAGCAGAAGTTTGTAGTCTGGTGATACGCGAGGGTCACCCTATGCTCACTCCACATGTACAACTGGTATCAGCATCATTGCAAGGCCGAAATCCTCTAGCACAGGTCTGGTTACTGTCTAAAGACACAGGTATAGCTCAAGGGTGTCTGTCTGAGCTGCTGTTCGCATAGCACAGGTCCCCATAGCAGCAAGAGAAGCTAATGAGACTTTTTTCTAGGGTGACTGCTAGGTGGCTGATCTGTATATTGAGGGCCATCCCGCCACAGCAACCTCATAGCCAGTTCCTGACCCAGCCAGTTCGCATCAGCCTTCAGGAGCTCTCGTACAGCTTAAACAAAAGGCAAGTGACTGGAGTGCCAATCAACAGGCAAATTGACTAACACAGCAAGGAGCCTTTTGTTGTTAGTCTTGCCCATAAGCTGTTTGCAGCTGTGAACCAACGCAGAGTTCACCAAAGCAGGGATGGAAGAATGGAAAAGGAATAACAAGTGGTACACCTCATAGGCTTTGAAGTACAGATAACTGGGGAAAGGATCTGAATGAGGATAGAGCTGTAGTCAGAGACTTCTTAAAGGAACAAGTATGCGAATAAAAACCAGCAAGACATTGTCGGGAAAATCCAATCACACTGCCATGCCTCTTATGCACCTCTGCTACCTCCCACCAAACCCAAGATCTCACCATCCTATAATCCTGCTAGGAACATACGTTCATTTTTAGGAGCCTAAATCCTTGTAAAACTGACTTGGCTTGCTCAGGGTAACTGTACAAGAACTGGATTAGGGTTGCCCTGGAGTCCACTACAACCCTTCAACTGGTTGAACTGCATTTTGGTGATGTTTAGTATCCTGAATGGTCCCCAGGGACTAACTACATCAAAAGTTTTTACAGCCTGTAATAGCTCTCCTTTCTGTCCTGTTTAAAATTCAGTAGTGGAACGATCCTGGTTTCTAAAACAAACAGTGTCAGCATCAAGCCAGAGCATCAGTGAGCAAATAACTTCTCCGAGTTCTCTTCTTTGTTTGTGCCTACCTTCAACATTCATCTGGGAAAAAGCAACTCCCCTCCCAGACAGGAAAAAGTTTTACTAGTGAGAAAGCACCTTTGCCACAGTGAATGAGCCATTTGCCTTGCACCAATGCCTAGCCACTTAAAGATATAATTACAGCAATTTACAAGAAAAGTTTGTTTCCAAACAGCATTCTGAAGGTGCAAAGCATCACCAGTGATGCTGTTATTCTTTCAGAATCTCTAGAGCATTCAGGCACCAAAGACTAAGATAAGCAGAAAACCCTAAACACCTAACATATGAAGTCAGTCACGCATATTGTAAAACATTTGGAAAAATAGCTATGTATCTTCCCATTTACCATGTCTTCTGTGCAACAGACAATTTTGAGGCTAGGAAGCACAGGGCACACCTCCCCACATAGAGATGGGTGCATTACATTAAAAGAAACCCAAGTTGAAAAGTTTAAACACACTTCTTAACTTGGGTTCAGATACTGTTGCATCACTTTCCCTTTGAGCATCACACCATTGATTTCCTCTTCACTGTCAGGATTCAGAGAACCGCAGATTAATTACACTATCTCCTCCTGTTATTGTCCCCCAAATCTGTAAACTGACTTTGCCTCAAGTTAAAGAAACTTAGTGTCTCCTCAGCCTAAAACGCTTTTCTGTCAAATTCTTACAATGTGACTGAATGGTATAGCAAAATATCTCATGATGATGAGCAAGGCTCAGACCTATCAGTGAAGAATCACTTGTCTATTCAGTCATTTAAGATAAACAGCCCAATTTTTCTTAAGTACTTGATACATCATGGTATTACTGATGCACTTCAAAGTATAGCAGATACCCACTAATGATACCATGGGATGTCATTTCACTCATAGCAACACCACCACAAGTACAGCTGCTGAGTGGAATTGGCTCCACCATGCAACAAGGCTGCAAAGTTAGACATTTATAAAAAGTTAGGGTCCATATAGCTCACAGAAGTTGCAAAATTAAACAGGCACTGCAACATCTCCACCAATATCAACAGCAAACTTCAATTATCATCTAGACATAACATTTCTAACATACTTAAAAACATTATATTCTGATACTTGGCATAAGTTTGTGATGGCAAAAATAAGGCTTAAAAAAAAAAAACAAAACCAAGCTGTACTTACAATTTCAAACATAGAGACTTAGTACAATTGCAAGGCTTCCTGGGACGGTTTGCAGATTCAGAAGGAATTATTCTGTGGAGGGAAAAAAGGGAATGTATATAAACACACATTGTTTTATCAGTTTCTTCCTATTTTAAATTAAAGTAAATAGGTCATAATAAAAAATTCCAAAAAATCTTTATTCCCCTTGCGCTAGGTTTTCGGCTGACTGCATTTAAGTAGCTATTATATATAGTGCCTTTCCAACCCCGAAAGAGCTAGGTTATTTGCTGCAAATTTGGCTGCATGCCTAAAGTAGAAATGAGGCTTAAAGCTACAGGAAGAAGCATCATAACTGAAAACTGGAAGCAGCGAAAACTTCCCTAGAACCCCTCTACATGCAGGGGGACTAGATCCAGCCGAGGTTCACACAACGTGATTGTGCCTTTCCTTTTGTTCTAGTTGTAATTAAAAAAAAAAAGCTCCAGAATAATGGGAAATCAAGCCAAAACATGGAATTCAGTTTATAGATAAATTTTACATCAGACAGTCTTTAACTGCTCTTAAAACTCAGATTTTGTGTCACTAATCGCTTTTGATGAGATTCGTTCCGTCCCTATCCAGCAATTTCTGCACATAAAACCAGGGAGATTAAATCAAACCCATTCGTTTGAATAGCTGCATCTGGATTTGGGATTAGTTTGCATCAGTTGAGGTTAGAGCAACAAAAAGCACCTTGGCGTTTACAATTTCCAGCAAACAATAACACAAAAGGACTGTGAGAACAGCTAAGCCTGCTAGATTGGCAAACGGAAAATGATAAATTTTAGTGTTATTTTCATCCTTAAAGGAAAAATACAAGACTGAAAAAAAACAAAGCCTCCTATCAGGATCCACTTTGGGCTTTAGTTCCATTTTGCTGCTTGACTGGATTTCTGCATGTGCTAAACATCTAGTTCTTATATCATCCAGCACCTCTTCCCAGCAATGTCAAGAAACAGCTGAGGCCCGTAGCTCCCAGGTGCTGATGCAAAATGAAGAACGAGCAACAGAGAGCTTTCGGGTCAACTTCCTGCTACATGAGTTCAAAAAACAGAAAGGAAAACACAGCTTTGATCAATAGACTGGCTCAACTGTCAGACAGATCCATGTCCTTTAGTCTCTAGAGGTAATAACGACGCTGTATACCTGATTTTCTTGGAAAATGCCCTAAACCAAACTCCAACACCTCAGCTCCCACCCGTCCTTATAATGGGACTGAAAGAAGATACTCATTCAGCAGCCTATACTGCAGGCTTGGTTTTGTTGGTTCCCTGCCCCCCCCGTCAAAAACACTCACCCATTGAATGGCAGCCGTGCTTGGGACTGGATACTAGATGTCCCTGTAAAGCCCGTGTTGCTTGCTATAGATACATACGATGATTGTTGTAGCTAACAAAACAAAAAGGTTAATGCATAACATAGAATAAGTTACAGAATACACAAGAGCATGTGTAGCTAGTCTTTTAATTAGCTTTCCAGATAGTTATAAAAACAACATGCTTGTAAGCAGTTTTAGACATTTTTAGAACTTGGACCAGGCAGCAACCTCCTGCCTTCATAGTTGCATAAAAACATAATTTTAGATTATATTTTTGTTCTCTATTACAGTGTCTACAGCTGTACAGATAACAGTCTACACAGAAATGTTCAGACCACAAACAGTTCCAGCTCCTAAAAACATGCTCATTTTTCCACTACTTTTCCTAAGCAACCCTGCCCCTAATAAAGCAGGATTGCTTCCCGCACAAAGTACTTCAGTAGCTTCCTTAATATACAAGCCACTTATTACGGAATCAAATAAAAGCAAGTAAAATTATTTACATTCCAATTTCTCTGCATACCTGGACCCACAGTTTGTTTTTCACATTAAAAAAACATAACCTCATAAGAACCTGCTAAATTACAATGTTTTGGGCTACCTTCGTTTGTATTACCTACACACAGGCCATTTTCTCCTGCTGGGACAGGTTCTGGAGATAGACTGGCACATAACAAGATGTAGACCTACTGGGGTCAGGCTAAAGGGGACAGATTGTGTCTGGAACACAAAACCTCTGAGGAGATATCCAACAAACACTTTTACTTAGTTTAAGGTAAGATTTGCGGAAGTGGACTGGAAGGACACAGTAAGAGTTTTCACAGGCAAACTGCAGCTGTGACAAAACTAGAAAGGAACCAGCAATGAGGTTGGTATCAGTAATGCCATGAGCTGACAGAGTCCTTGTTTGTACAGACTGGCTGGTCAGCCTTCAGCAGAACAATTCATTTATTCTCGTTTCCATTCTGAATGTTTGTCAGATCTTGGCAAAGAACAAAAACCCAATCCCTAGACCTGGGCTGGTGTGACCGGTACGCCCTGCTCCTAACCCCTGGTATTGTGGTTAGCATAACTAACACCATTTTATAATGTAAGCAACCATTCTCTGTAACAGAGTGGGTCACATATCCGTTCCCTTTCCCCTCATTATCAGGCCCTGAAGGTCTTGTGAACCAAGTAGACAAACCAAACACATTTATTCTTCCCCTCACTACTGGCCTCAAGATTCCTGGGCACCAGGCCGATTACTCCCTTCCTTACTGGCTGTGAAGTTCTCAGGCACCCGGACAATGAGGTGGTGGTGATGACCCTGTCACAGAACAGGGAAGCATAACAGCACACAGAGCACTGTCTATAAAATCAAGCAGTTACAAGTCCTACGTAAGGAACTTGGACTGGAACTGCTGCTGGATGGTAAGACCTGTGACCCGCCCCAGGAAAGGGACACCTCCACCACCATCTGCTTCCTCCAAGGACTGCGTGATCTGTGTTCTTTTATATGATTTTCAAGTTTAGATTATGATCATTATATTGATAAAGCAAACTGTGTATTAAGATCTGACCTGATCTGCAGAGGGTCTAGGTGATTAGAAATGATAAGTTAAGTTGTATTATAAATTCTGTAGTACGCTACTTATAAAATTGTACTACACTGATTCTGCTCATAGAAATCCCATGCTATTCTGACTGTAAGTCCTATGCTATGCTAATAAAAAAATCCTGTTAAAAAATAAAGCTTTAATTGTAACTATGATTTAGTGCCATCATCATTCTGCCAAGGATCCCTACAAGAAACTCTGTCCCCTTAGTGTTAGGTGACAGTTGGGCAGCAAGAACCTTTAAGAGGAAGGCAGTATGTTCCACAGCACTATTTCCTTATTTATCTATGGGTTAACACCATACCTGTGTGACATACTGAGCTGGAAGGACTGCATATCCAACATTTCCTGTGCCAGGTGCTGGTGCCAGTACAGTGCCTGGTGGGAGGTTGGTGAGGTTGGGCTGTATCTGTGGCAGTGGAGTGGCTGGCATAATAAGTCTTTGTTGGGGCTGACTAGTAGTAACTATCTGGGAAGTTGGGTTGATTGGTTTGGGCACCACCTGGAGAGAAAAAAGGTCTTTATGAAATAATGGTTTGATTCAGAATGCACTTTCATTAATAGAACATTTCGTGACAGTGCTGAAACTGGACATTTTTTTCTGTCCATCCAAAATAAGTCAGGAATATGCCTTTTACATTTAGGCTTACCTGTTTCACAGTCTGTGCTGGCACTATGGGAACAGACATGCGCACTGGGGTTGCATTCACCACCACTGGCTTTGCTAATGTTAAGAAACAACATCACATTAACACATGTTATTCGCTAAAAGTCCACATTTCAGTCCTCCAGACTTTCACATGTGCATAATGCAAAGGTACTTAATACTGTAACTACACGCTGAGATTAACTGACTGAACTCACGGCACATAACACTTATGTCTAAAGTACACCTTTGTAAACAGGTACTTGGCTGGCTTAAAAATCAGCTCAGATGCAGAGCTCCTCTGGACACTGGATTTCCCTTGGCCAGAGGAGAATAAAAACCCCACAGCTTGACTTGAAAACTTACTCTATCTCAGCTCCAGAAAGCATGGACAGAAACCAGCAGAAACATCTGGCGCGTCTGAAACATTTTATGTAGAAGGATCTTTGTGTTTTGGAAATACATTTGTGGGCTTTCCTGGCTTCACACTTTTCATACAGGGCATCTGGGACTTGCCATAAGTCACCCACAAAGCTGGTAAACTAGGGAAAAGCAACCTAAAATGCTCAAAGGATTCAGGGCCAACTATTGAGCAATTTGACACAGAGGAGCATTTCCACGCACAAACAAGAGGTAACAGTAGAATATGAAATTTATAGGAGTCTGCCACAAAACCAAGTACATCCGGCAGTCTTGATAGATTTCTATTATGTACTCGTTTCAATCTTACAAAATAAACATGAAAAACCCCAAGAAATACTTACTTCAGACAATACATTAGCACCAGAACTTACCCTGTTGAAGAGGCTGTGTATTCGTACTTGGATTTTGACTGGCCGATTGGGTTGAACTATTAGCTGTTGTGGCAGTAACGAGTCTGACATAATGGAACTTGCTTCCAGGTACCTGAATCTGCTGAACATTGGGTGCAGTTGCCAAGGGAATAATTGTCTTAAATTGAGATGTACCCACTCCTCCTACAGTAATGGTCTGCACTGCTGATTTCATAGCCTGTTAAGCCAACACAGCCAGCACAAAGAACATCAGTGTGTTTATTCCTCAATTTGTTAGTGAGCAACTCTCTAATCCATTCATATCCTTGAGAAACAAGTCAGTTATCCCCTTTTTTGCTTTCAAAAGTAAAACAGATGTGAAGAGATTAAATGCCTCTCAACAGCTCAGACCAAACTCAGTTCCATTTTTAATGCTTTATATCAAACGCCAAAGTAAACTAATATTTACATGAGTAGCATGACTCAGTCCACTTCCCCAGATACACTGTCTGCCAAAAAACCTTCAGGTGACTACAGAGAATATTACTCAGTTTGTATTAAAAAAATCAAGCAATGAACAAACCTAGAAATATTCCTACTAATAAGAACACATGATAGGAGCTTGCAGAACTGTTTGTGCTGGACTGCAGCATGATTTATCTCTGTGTACAGATACATCCTGTTAAGACAGTTTGCGATTAACACACAGAAATCACTGTGCAGCCCTTGAGAAGGAAATGGAACAGAGTCCACAAACCGATAGCTGAAGACATGCGAAAGAGGGCACAATCTGAGAAATGAAAGAAGCAGGAACAATGAAGAGTAGCAAAACAAACATATTAAGAAAAAAAAATCAGAAAGGGGAAAGGGGAAAGGGAGTTTGGCAGACCTGTGCTACCTCACAGCTGGAATAATGGTACATCTGGAATCTACAAGACTTCATCCTTCCAGTTTCTCTCAAACTACATGCTGATAATAAGCAAATGTCTATTTTATTTATATACATTCATAAGTCTACCAGTTTGATAGCAGCATCTTTTTCCAGCCTTGCTGACATCCTCAAACCTTGGTTTATTCCTCCTTTTTCTCCTTCCATCTAACTTCTTTTGGAGCTCAGCTTTTTATTCTCAGTAACTGAATATCGATATTAAATGTATCATTGCCCTTGGCATTAAGTTTTCATATTAAATTTGGTTGATAGTACGATGTGACTTCTTAGAACATTTTCCCAACTCCCCAGTTTTCAGCAACTACACAAATAAAAATCTCATTTCCAGTGGAATATGTGCAAATTATAAGCCTTTTCTTTTTTTTTTTTTTAAAAAAGGTGTTTTCTTGGGAAATTTTTTATTATACTGAAACCTCAACAACCCAGAGCAATTCAAAATAAGCACTATCTGCAAGCCCAATGACAGCCTAAATGCTATCACAGAGAGACCAGCATGGACAAAGTTCCCTCTAACACACAAATTAGTGGCTACCATCCAAGGACAACAGGGAAAATTGTAAAATTCAAGTGACAGTTCTTCTGAGGGCATTTTCTTGAGCCCAGTGAAGACAGATGAAACCCTTGTGTTGTGTCAGATAGCTTTGGTTCAGAACTCAGTACGTATACCACACAACCATCTCCATTTTGTCATTTAGGGTGATTGCATTAGAGTGACTTAACCTTTAACAACTTTTTCAAAAAGACAATTTTGCCAGTTTTACTCTGAAAAAAGCCCAGAAAAACTTAAAATCATGCTGGTGTCCACATCCCCGTATCAGTATTCCAATTACCACCTGTATTACTGGTAAGACAAGACTGGCAAAGTCCGTCTGAGTCTCTCGTCTTGTGCTGTACATGCAACTGTGTTTATTCTCTGCTGTAGCCACCCTGGTTATTTACACTTATACACATCCTTTCATGTTTACCAAAACAGGAATACAGACATTAAGACAGAAAAAGATTTGCCTAATATTACAAAAGAGGAAAAAAGTAAGATCTGCAGTTTGTAAGAAAGGTCATTTTTTTCTTGTCATTCATTAATGCAAATCAATTTATGAAAGCTATTATGGAAAACTCAGATATTTTTCTAGAAATGAGACACAGGAAATTAATTATTTCTAATTCTGAAGGTCTCAGACCATGGTGTATTGCTTATGCATACATCCACCACAGGAATATGAACTCTAGTGTTGCAAACCTCAGAAAACCTGGAAAGCAGCCCTAGTCAGTGACATAGAAACACTGGTAAAGAGATAAAACCACCCAAAGAACCCTTCCTCATGTCACAGGCAGCCTTTCAGATGACTTGGGAGATTCAGTACACAGAGTTGAGAACTTGCACCATGTGGGGCTTTCCGCGTTGGGAAGCTGCTCTCTAACAGTATGTTGTGGTTTGCACCCCTCAACTGAAGAAGCACATGCTCCTTGGGACAATGCTTTTGCCAGTTCTTAAGCAAACACCATTACAAGAACACCTTGGGACTGACCACTGCCAATTTGAGGTTCAACACTCCAGTTTCCCACAAGCAAAGAGACAAAGACACACTAGAAGACAAAGGAAAAGTCAGTCTGTACCTGGGTGGTTGTGTTGTTGACTATAGCCTTCCCAGGGGATGAGGGTGCTGACTGCTGCACTGTGAGGATCTGCTGTCCTAACGCTACATTCAGTGGGACACCCACAGTCTTCTGGGGGGAGCTGGGAGGCTGGGAGGCCACTGACACCACTGTTAGCTGCTTGGCAAAACAAAGAAGCAGTTTAAATCTCTGCGCAGGATACAAGATCCTGTACATATACATTCCCTCCTCGTTAAAGTACAGTTCTCCACCAGTACAAAGAGTTCTTTCTGTGAGCAATGATGCTGTGTTTAATCACAACTCACATGGGTCCGACAGTACAACAGCACATTAGACACGTTAGCAACTTCAAGGCATTGCTGGTTTCCAGCACCAAAATGCCCCTGCAGAAAGCTAGAACAGCTGCTGCTTTTTAGTTTTGGGATTTTTTTGTTTGTTTTCTTGTGGGTTTTTTTTTTTGTTGTTTGTTTGCTTTTTTTTTTAAGGAAACTATCCCACTGAAGCCTAAGCACTATCAGGATGGATTTTCTGAATAACAGCTTTATAATCAGTACCATGACTATTTCATCAAAATTGAAAGTTTAAAGGAGAGCTGGGGGGGGGAGGGGGAATAAATCTCACCTTCTACTACTGATGCAGCTGAAGTACAAGAATATCAGTATTTTCAAATCTACTTTCCAGATACTCATAGAGATCCAGTCGTGTGACTGCATTTCTGCAAAGCGTAGTGTTTGAATATTTTATTCTATACAGCCACACCCCTTCCAAGGTTGGTTTTCTACTTTTTGTTCTAAACTTCCTTCTTTATGCTTTAAGAAAACTCACAATTTTTGAAACCTTTTGCTTTTAAAAAGATACTTCGAATTACTTATCTACAGTATATTCAAGATGTAACCCTAAGGAGTCTTTTCACCCCCACTCATTGTTAATTTTTATTCTAGATTTTTTTTACTTCTTCCTCATGTTGCTTCCCTCACTAATAATTCTCAAACACAAGTCCTTCACTCCATTTGTATAACATTATATAACTAAAGCACAGTCTTTACCCTTACGCTAGTTTTTATCCACAATATTTAGTTTGAATGCATCAAGCATCTTGCACCCCTCAACTCTTCCTTTCTCCAGCAACATTCCTCAAGACAATTTTATCAAGTCTAAAATACAAGCTTCACCATGACAGTTGTCTAAAGCAGCTTACAATGCATGAGTTACCTTTTCTATCTATTGCCCACCTGTGCCAATCTCCAGCTCTGTATTTGTCAAGGACTACTGCAAATCTCATTTACTTCAGACGTGATTAGGGAAGACTAAATCATCTATGCAGTAGCAGGCAATGGTTAATAAGTGCTGACTTATTAACATAATTGATGTCTCCTCTTCAATAGCCTGTCGACGTTTTATGAAGGCATTAAAAAAAAATACTGTTTGAGCACTTGGCTAAGAGAAAATAGCTGCTTTCGGAGTGGATGTTTAGGGAATGGCAAGAAATGGCAGAAATGAGAAACTAATGCAGAAATGCATATATACTTAAAACCACAGTAAGGGAGCCAATTGCAAAAAATCTAGCTTAGGCTATTCCCACAGAGCATCGCGATGCACAGTGGAAACTCTAGAGCAGCAGGATCATAAACAGCTAGTAGCAAAGACACAGAGAGCTCCATTCACACCACTGTGCAGGAGGGATAGAAGGCTGCAGCTAGAATCAGGTCCTTACCTTATTAGGGGATTTGAGTGGTGAGATAGCTATTTTATTTGGTGTCTGTTGTGTTGTTGTATTCAATGCTGATCCAATGACTCCACTTTCAGAGATTGTTATTGTCTTTGGTGGTGTTCCTGGAGCAGACTGTGAAAGAACCCTACCTATAAACAATGAAGATACCATCAGCTCAAGTTATCCCTGTTTACGTTAACTTTTAAAGCAAAGTTTTCTCTGCATATTGTGCAATTGATCCCTACTTCTGAATGTGTATTACCTGGTAGGAAGGACATTAGCATTCTTTAGGTTAGATTCAGCAACAAAGAAGAAAATTGCAAATAAAAAGACAGTTCATCTGGGCTTAAAAAAGCCAAAACATACATTGAGCTTTCTGCTGAAAATTCTTTAAAGCCTGGACAGCACCCTGAGACACGCAGCCCTCCAGTACACCTGTGCTGCACACAAACACCCAGCCAGCTGGCAGTTTCCTAGAAAATCCCTGGGCTGCTGTCAACATATAGAGAGACTGAGTAGGGGGGGGGGTGGGGGAAGAAGCTACTTCCTTTTAAATCCTCAGCCATCAGAAATGAACTGTTATAGTGACCAACAAAAAGGTGTTTGGTCTGTTTATGCTCAACTCTAATTTTTTTTTCTTCTCTGTGTTGTTGGTTGTTTCTTTCAATGCCTAACAGAATATACAACACTCCCATGAAAATATGGGTGGTGGTGTAACTCTACAAACTAGCTGCTTTTACAACAGCAAAAAAGGTTAAACATGAAAACCAGCTGCTCCAAGTCATGAAATCGCTTTTAGGAATATTGCAAGTGTCCCAGAGTTGAAAACATTTGGTTTTCTTTTTTTTCCTTTTTTAATACTTCTAAGTTTCTTTCCAAAAACTGCTTGGTCACTGAGCTTCCCTCTGCTGCACTTTGGCTCAGACTAATTTCTGTCATAGCTTCTGTCACTCATTATCTTGTACTACATTTATGAAAACAAGAAACAAACACACACCAGCATAACTTTTCCATCCAAAAATCAACCAGTGGCACGACAATGAAGTCAACTGGAACTAACAAGAAAAAGCATCATCCTCATGGAAAGCTGCCTTCCTCTGAGGTCTATGTGCTCTAAAATAACTTTCAGTTTTATGCAGCCTAAGTAACAGCACAGATTGTGCCAGCAGCTGCGAAAGCCACATGCAACCTGAAAAATGTCAAAGCCTGTGCAAATTGTACCATCTACAGTATTCAATGCTTTGAGTTTGTTTTTTCCTGGTGACAGCTTTCCCTTTCTCACTACATCCCCTCTGCGCCCCTTGGCATCAGCTTCCTAAACAGAATCTGGCTGCTTATACTGACAAGTCCTTAAAATTTACAGCTTCCACCTCATTTTCCATAAATTCCCAGGTAATCAAAGATATTTATCAAATTCAGGTATACAAAATCAAAACACAACAGAAATGTTGCACCTTCCCCAAAATGATGCCAGCTTCCCAAAGCTGGCAAGCTGTGCTGGCTATTTGGGATGGTGAGAAGACAAACAGGTATCTAAAAAGATTTCTCTCTCAATTACAGAAGCATCTTCATCTCCCAGTGATGCTTCTCTCACAGGCTCAGGGGCTCAGTACTCTTGATTTTCCAACATACCGATTTAAAAGCTGGAAGTGTGTTTATTTTGTACTGTATGTTTGTCAATATTATGTAGGTATGTTTTGATTTGGACGTTTTCCTTCTTTCCAGAGGCACTAAAATTAAAAATATGATCTTATTAGTATTATTTTTGTTGTGGGTCCTTACTGTTTACCAATTTTCATGTACTGCCAGATGAAAATGTAATGCAGCTTCAAGTGACTCGTTTTGCGAGTTTTTAATGTTTCTGGGTTGGGGTTTTTTATTTGTTGGTTGTTTGTTTTTTTTTTAAACACACAAACAGCTTAATTTAAATATTTATGAACACAGTAAAGCACTCTTATTCACAGATCTGTACATTTGGTAGGGAATTGTTTGAGAAAGGGGGAAAAACTGGGGAGTGGGATGGGGGAATCTCTCTTTCACCTGAAACATGAGTTGGGCCTCAGGCAGGCAGCCCGACAAAGAAAAGATTGTTTCAGTTATGTGCCATTCACTTGCATCTATCAAAGTTTCGAATACTGGAGACAGTTGCATTCTTTTATAAACCAGCTCAAGCCCCAATTCTGTAAAGGCTTAACAAATTAATTTAAATATGTGGAAAATATAGGCCTACTGGGGCTGGTCAATCTGGAAGCAGTTGAAGACATCCTTCAAAGCTCTGAAGATGACTCTGGCTTCCTGCATTCGTCCTTTTGAGATAATTTAGATGCCTCAGATGCTACTTGCATACATGCAATGATGCATTTAGTAAGGGACACATCAGTCCCACTACCATAATAAACAAATGAATACACTGTGAGTTTTTTCTTTAGTTTAATTTTTTTTTTTTAAAAGGACACAAACATAGATTTGTTTTCTGAAAAGCCAAACCATTTCTTACTTGCTTTAATTACTTACCTAAGACTCTTCTGCAATGCTTATTTTTGAAGTAGGTGAGAAACAGCACAGCTTTATTCACTTTTTTCACTCATTTTTTTTTCCTCTTACTTGCGTGTATTACATTTAAGTCCCACTATAAGCAGATTAAAGTAATAGAACAGCATGTGTCTCATTTTCCCTGTTTATGTAATCTATCTACAAATACTGTCTGTTTATTGAGTAGCCTTTTCACTCTTTTCACAGTCAATTGAGTAGCTGTGAGGTATTTTTTTCTCCTCCCAAAAATCCAGAAAATAGAAACATCTTACAGTAAAAGCAAAATGATCAAACTCTACAATCACAAAGATAATTCTAAACAAGCAAAGTGCAAAGGTACCAACAACTGCATTTATCTGTTTCGATCCCAAAAATTCTCTCACGATTTTTTTTTCCAAGTGCTTGAGGTACTTCAACAGAAACTACAGTAAAAATTGAGACAGAAAAATGTCTACAATCATCGTCTCTTTGAACAGCTTTTGAAAACAATGGTAAAGCAAACCAAGTCAAAGTAGTACAACCTGCAATGACTGGTGACACTTGAGTGGTCTGCCCTGTTACAGCTTTGCTATTGATTGGTTTTGCAAAGATCAGCTTGGTGATGACTGGGCCAGAAGTTGGGGTTCGAGTCTTCTTCGCAATCTGAAAGATGGAGGAAAAAGATCTAAAGTAACTTGAGCATTTTGGATCTAATTTATTGTATTCTTAAGTAAGTGCAATACTCACACACATAATTAGAAGAATAACTGCTTATATCTTATTTCACCTCCATTTCTCACTATAGAGAGAACTAGGATATCATCCATGCCACTTTTGAAAACCAGCCATCAAAGCAGGATAGCCAAATGCCTTATAGCTTTTTTTGTAAGATATCTCTCTATGCAAACATACCTAATCTTCAAGATGCTGAAATTATTTTTTATATGCCATTGGTCTACATAAAAATGTTTAAATTAAATGCACAACTCTCAATATTTGAAGTTTTTAAAAAAAGTTACATCTTCAGCCAACCAGGACAAACCTTGTTCCTTGAGTGGTTTAAATATGACAACTATTGCTCTGAAACATCTCTCGACCAATACTGACATAGCACCACACTTTTATCCTGCAAATGGGAAAACAGCCTACCGCAGCTGTTCTCAAAAAGTACATGGATCATCAGTCCCTGAAAGTTTTGGGTACTCACTAGCCAAGAACAAATCAGTTGGCTACATCCAGGTACAACGGGGTCTTTTTTTCCTTCTGTCATTCAGTCTCCTGAAACACAACTGGACCAGGAATACGTATTTGCAATTCAATGAGACAGATAAGGAGGGGTTTATGATCTTAAGTCTTAAACAAGACTTTTTACCCTTTTCCACACTGACAGAAGTTAATCACCAGATGCATTTATCCTAATAGTTTCTATACACCAGCATCTAGATCATGAATAGTTCAATTAAGAGGCTGACTTCTTTCAAAGACTACTTTAACCTGTTGACTGCAGAGGCTGCCTGCAGATGCAGACTATCGTGAGGATCTTCCCCATGTCCAAGTGAGCACACTGGAAGGCATTGTTGAAGCTCTTACACTTACCCACCCCGCATATCAGGCCCATACTACCTCTTCACCCCACACACCCAGCCACATCCTATGGACACCAGCCACCAACTCCAGCAATATTAGAGAGGGACAACATTGGCATCCATGTGGCGAGCCACCTCTTGAAGGCGCAGAACCACCTTTGTTACTCAAGTAGCTAACTGGAGAAATCTCACTGATGTGCAAAGACAGAGAGATGACAGCTACTTTTAACAGCCTGAGAAAGCTGTGAGTGCTTTAATGAAGCAATTGAGTAGGCTGGAGGTTATGTTTTCCAACACAAACCCCTATTTATAGAATTCGCTGACTGAAAACACCTCCTTTACAGTAGAGTAACACCAAAACATTTGAAGTATTCAGTAGCACATAATGAATTCCCCAGGTGCCCAGTAAAGAGCATGCGTGAGGCTGCTTCCAGTGGCACACTCACGGCATGGCTGGGGAAGCCAGAGCTCCCCCCTGTTATGGCACTGGAGCCCTCCAGCCTCCAATGGAAATCAAACATCACCTCTGCATGCCTGAGCTGTGCCCAGCCAAGAGAAGCCAGCAATTACCAGCTCTGACACCAGGCAGTGCCAGATAACAGACCTCATTTAAAGGAAGCCATGTGCTGCTCCACAGTTACAGCACAAGCGTTCCTCAGAGGAAACCTCCACTTCAGACCATTGGCAGGTGAAGGTCATTTGCTCAAATACGCTGCACCCAGACCACATTAGCTGCTTTATAGGTGGCATACAATAGCCAAAGCTTAAAATGAAACACAAGAAAAAACAACTGCTCTTTTTGGAGATATATTACCTAAAACCTTGAAACATAAGTTGTTTGGAGAAGGAAGCTTCATTCACAGCTCAATTTACAAATTTAACTCAAAGCCATTTTAACATTTCAAGGATTCAGTTATCTTAGCACATACACAGCTGACAGCTGAGCAGGCATTTTATAAGTAAATTTTTTGGTAAATTTACACACACTTTAATTTCTGATAAATTCCCCACATTTCATCTACTTGATTTGAGACTTCTGTTGTGCTGAAACTACTATTACCATGCCATAAGGTATTATTGTAACTCAGCTGCTATTGCTTTTACTCTCTGAAGTGAGGGCAAAGTCTGGTTCAGAATGTGATCAACATTGAGCAGGAATAGCCAGCTCCGGACAACAGCAGTTGTTTCCCAGTAACAGTCAATAAATGTGTTTAAATGACTTACATTAAGTGTAAGTCATTTAAGCACATGTGTAAAATACTAGCTACCCATTCACATGAAGTATTTCAGAAAAAAAGTGAAAATCCCAAAACAATAGCTGGTCAACACAAGGAGCCCTGCTTCCCTCAGACTCAACTTGCAAGATCCTCCTCAGATAAATTCCCCCTTGCTTTTTGTCTACAAAGGAGGTCTAAAACAAGTGAATCCCCTCAGGGCTTAGGAACCATGGCAAAACTCAAATGTGGTTGGTTATAGATGAGGAACAGACCTTGGACCCCAAGTGCAGGCAGTGCACTCCTGCCTTTACTTGCTGCCAAGCAAGCCTTTCAGGGGTTTTTGCTGCTGGAGCCAATAACCCCAGCCACCTGTAAAAGCCTTCTAGGCATCAGTGAGAAACTCACTGCCCATTTCAGTAGAGACTGGAGAAGCCAGAGGAAATAATCAAGATGACAGACTGTCCCTTCGATGCTTCAGAAAGAGCAAGTTCTCTGGAGCCCTCTGCCATTGCCTGTACAAATCACAAGCAGGTTAACATTATTCCTCTGCCTATGTAAGCTGAGCATGCTCCAAGTTACTCTGAATTAGACTGCAAAAATATTTCCTGGGGCAACAAGCTCTTCCATAAGAAAATTATTATATTTAGAAACACACACCAACCTTCCTCCCCCTACAGAATAAATAGAGGTATTTATCTTCCCTGCCTCTGCCCCCTACTAAATAAAGGTATTTCTCTCCAAGCATCTTAATTTAAAGGGTTAATTTATGTCTTCCTAAGTACCCTCCACTAAAGATGAACTAGCAAGTTTCTATGGCGAGACTCTGTTTTCAGCTGTCAAATAAAAAGGCACATGCATACCTCACATTTACTGCTGGACTGAACACCCACATAGCCAGCTACCAAAAAGGAGCTAACACACTATAAATCCACTTCCTAGGTGACCTCATGGGAGCTTGTCCATGTAGCCACACCCCATGTCATTTATATTTAGCATAATATGAAAAATCAGTGACTCCAGAAATAAAGGAGGAGAACAGCGCACGTCAGAGAAGATAAAGAAACTGAACTAGGAATGGGAATTTGCTGAGATTAGGGAGTGCACAAGGTCCTTTTCCATGGCAAGATGAAACCACAATGGTGGCTTAGCGGTTGTTTTGCCATTGTAGAAGCAATGCTATGGACACATAGATTTAGCTGCTGAAATGCAGAGCCAGTTACTACATCAAGACAAGTTCAAGTTAGACTAGCTTAGTGACAGCAATGGCGATGGGCCAGGACATCTGCAAGGCTAAACTCCTGCTTAACGCACTTGGACTGAAGTAGTACACCAGCAGGAACATCATTGTTTTTAAGCCTGTATGCAGGCAGGAGCCACAGGCTGAAAGCAGATGCACTTGCCCAGTAGTTTTGTCCACACATCCAGGGCAGTGGTTTCAAGTAAATCAGGACAAGCTGCCAAGGGACAGTAATAAACCTCTGGATATAAATGAAGCCCAAGGTCCTGCCACATTTTACACATCACAGAGAGGGCGCCAGATTCCAAGAAACATTTTGCTCAGCTCTATCAATTATGCCTTTTCTCAAGTGCTAAAATTTCAAATATCACAATTAGATTACAGCAGGGCTAATTGAGTTTCTTTAATGACCTGCAAAGCCCCTACGACAGTAAGGACCTAACAGAAGAGAGCTCTTTGTCATCTAATCTTTTAGCAATTCACTTTTCAGCACCGAGTTGAACTGCTGTGCTGCCTTGCATCTGAAATACCTCATTTACAAAGCCACAAGAGATAAGTTACACAAGACCCTTGGGAGGCAGGGAGGCATTCACAGCTTCCTTTTCCACTCACTGAAAGGTTAAGAGGCTTGTTCAGGATGATGGGGTAAATACATGACTTAATTTTCTAAGCCAGGGACTCAAGGCATGGGTTACCTCCCCTGTCATTCAGGATAGGATAGACCATGAATCTCTCACCCAGCCTCACATATTCCTCTGATACTTTAGTAATTTCCTACAGGGAAAAGCACTGTTTGGGAAGTTCTAATGTAATTATCTTTCTTGCAGTATCAGGTATGTATAACCAACTGAACGTTGCCTTCTTGCTTTTCATTTTTATTTCCCCCTCTCTTTATAGGAAAAACGGAATGCCAGGTGTTAACAATTCAATGTTTTGCAAATGGAAGCAAAGGTTTAATAAAAAAAAAAAGAGACCACAACAAAACAAATTTACTCAAACTGCAATTAACTAGGTTTACAAATGGATGCAAGTCCATTTGTAACAGCTTCTATTAAGGAACCTGTAGAATTCCTAATGACAAACAGCAGAAGTCAGTCACCAAGTCACTGTATTTCAGTCACTGATGGCACAGGTTATCTCATGCAAGGAAAAGTGGATCACAGCTAAGTCATTCTCCTCAGTTTCCTCTATCTGTCACTTGGCAGTCAGTAACCGAAGACTAGTAACAGGAACCGATCCACTCTCAAATGTTCCTATGCTGAGTCAAGAACATAGGCTTTTTGAGAGCTATAAGGACAACCATATCATTAATGATCAAGGTACAAAAAGTAGTCACTTAAAGTTTATATGTTTCAAACAGCCCTTATTAAACATGTTTTCCACAGGTATGATGTAGCAACAGAAGGGAAGAAAGCAGAACTCTGTGCAGGGATCATCTGCAGCTTTAAAACAAACCATCTTAGAGTTGCTCACATTCGCTTGCCATGAAATAATAGTCAGGAAACTTACCATTCGGCTAATAACATGCTAAAAGTTTGTAATTTTTCAAGTGCAGCAAATTAGTTTTTATTAGCATACTTAAGAGTTTAATTTCTCGTTGCATTTGTACCGTAAATAACCTGCATCAAGTTCTCCTTTTCCTTCCCTTTCATGAGGTCTTATTTCTGCCTCACTGCCACCTAGAATAAAGTCACTCACATTTAGTTTTGCGATATACCAGATGAATATCAGACTATTCAGATCATAATCTAAGCCTTTTCAACATGTTTTCAGATCCCAGCAGATTCTCTGTGGTTTCAAATATCTCAAGATCCATACCAGAGATTGGGAACAAGACCTTAAAGTGTCCATCTTACAATAGCGCCTAGTCTAGCAGTATCTATTAACAAGCTTAGCTAGATTTGAGGTAGACAAGATATACCTTTCTGTTCTTTTCCAAATGCTGGAAGTTTTTTTTCAGAGAGTTTATTTAAACAAACTAAACATAATAGACAGAAGCTAATCTTTCATAGAGGAATAAAGCAGCGTACATTTTAAATAAAGAACAACAGGCATATAGAGTTCAATTTAGTCTTCCTGAAAGCATGGATATTTATTTCTATAAAATGAAAATAATGGGAAAATTCTTTTCAATTTACTGGATTTTAATAGCTCACTTTCTCTGAGGCAGATCCTAAGTTTCTAGACAGTAGCTAGAGATAAACGGCATAAAATGGTAAATGCATCCACAGATGAACGCATGGGCTAAGATCAGCACTGTATTCTTTAATTCAAGGAATGAATGTAAAGGCTGAAAGCAACCGTGTATCAATCAGTCACGGAAACCGACAACAGTTGCAGCAACATACTTGTTTAAGATGTTTCATCAGCATAACTCACTTTACCTGTACTGTTTTTAATTGCTGGGTCTGCAAAACAGAAGGCTGGGCCGCAGTGTTTATCAGCTGACTTCCTTGCGTCAAAGCTGAGACACCAACAACAGGTTTCACTTCTGACCGACCTCCAATAACAACTTTGATCTGCTGGCCTTGTACCTTGGAGTCTCCACCTTGGGCTTGGGAGATGGCCTTCTGCGCCTGCGGGAGTTGGCTGTGGGGTAATGCTAAAACAATAGGTTGGCCAGACTTGCCCAAAGTTGTTACAATTAGCTTTTGCCCATCTGGTTTAATACTCTGATTGCCTATTTTAATATCGGCAGTCTTGTTCAGAATAATTTGATTGGCTGATATAGTGACGGGTGTCTGAGCACCAAGTTTATGGAGGCCACTTGGAAAGGTAGGCTTTACAGTTTTTGGAGTTGTGGTGTTCACTGTTGTGTCGCCTGAGTGATTGCTGGGTACAGTAACTGATTCTGTGGTGGCTGCAGTCATAGTCGTAGCTGAGGAGTCGCTGGTGGAGCTTATGTTCACTATTTCTTCCAGTTCTGTTTCCATGGGAATAGAATCTCCCATTGGCGACGACACAATAACCGCCTCAATGCTGTCATCTTCTACCAGAGTTATACCGGTGTCCATTATTTCCTCGGGGAGCAAGCTGTTGACTTCTGCTGAAACCACCTCCATTTTAGCAGTTGTGGCACTGATGACTGGAGCAGGTACTGCAATTATATTTTTAAAAGTTATTGGCTTCCAGAAAACATAAATTTTCAAAGCTTTATGAATAATATTACGAAAGAAGAAAATATAGTAGAAAATTTTTTTTCAGAGTGAAGGTATTGTGCATTCACAAGAGGGATATAATGAAAAAACCCCAACTGTTATCAAAACATAACACATTAAGCTGGATTTACTTTCAGAATCTATATCAAACCCCTTCAACATCATCCATTGAAGTGAAATCAAGCCACTGACTTGCTGTGGATTACCGGTCCACTCCTGACAACACAAAGAAGTAGTGTTTCCCCCTCAAGATACAGGCACCTTGTCCACAAAAATTTAAGCTTACTGAAATATAAAGTAAGAGTTAAACAGCTCTAAAAATCCAACAGATGATAATAGCTTTCCTCACACATGTCAACATTGATTAGCAGGTTATCTTGCCTCAAGAGACTTGTTATCCATACCAGATGTAAAAGGTTAAATCTTGCCAAATCCTCTTTTTGGAAATCTCAGAAAAACAGCTGTCTAGTGACAGGCTTTAAAAACCCCACAAGTTCAATTAACAGCACACCTATCCCAGCACCAAGCCAAAGCCCTGCCCTTCCAAGATAAACAGATAGATAATTCCTCTACGCTAGCCATGAAAAGAGCAGCTCAATATCTTTTTTTCTCAATACTCAGAAGAAAAATACAGTGCCCAAATTCATGATTAATTCGAAACATGTTCACAAAACAAAGAATATCTCCTCTGAAAGAAAACATTTTTTAAGCTGACTAGTAAGAGTGACCAATTTATGTAAGAAAAATTACAGGGAGATTCAAAGCCAGAGTCGCTTTTCACTTAACAAACCTTAAAGACTTTCAATCCACTAAAACCAGATTATTAAGAGTGTACATTTGTGTCTTGGTGGACAGCATTATTTTTTCTGGTGTTTGTAGGAGCCAGTTCTGTATTGGCATTCATCTCAAGTTTCCTTACCCAGAACAAACCTTAAAGACATTGCTGGAAATAGTCACATCTACCCTTCCCACTAAAACTGTATCCCTGTCAGAGAGTGAAAACAGATCAGCTTAATATGGCATTTTCCCCATGCTGACTCCACCAGCAGGCTTGGGCACTGGACAAGCGAGCACGCTGCATGGGTATGTGTACATGCTCTCAAGTACTCATCATAAGCTCAAGAGGACAGGATCCTCGAAAATTCAGTTTCCTGCTTGCTAGGAAAAGCAGAGCTGAGTTATTTGTACTAAGCAACATTCATAATTAAGGAACTGTGCCACTAAAAACACTGGCAAATGTCAAGGTGACATTGATTCCTCCAGGGTCACAGTGGTTCCATTTTACACAGCAGCTAACTACAGAACAGCTTCATTTCACTCACAAAGTAGAAGGGTAGGGGAAAAAACTCTGCTATAATCTACGTAGTTTCCATGCTGAGCTCAGGAGGCTGTACTGGAGCAGTCCACGGCTTTCCTAATCATGAAGGGTGCCATCCTGATTCCCCTCACCTCCAGAGTACAAGCCATACCAAAGTGCCATGATACTCAAGAAGCCGAAGTTGTGAAAGAACTTGTCCTGATGACCGATGGTCAAACTCACACACAGCTCACTTCTTGGCAGGCATTTAAAGATACAAAGTTCCCTGATGTCATTGCCAGAAATACCTTCTTTGGAAAGCGTTTCTCCGAAAGTAATGCCAGTACGGCTTGCAGTGATGCCAGACCCAGTAACTACCACTAGACAAAACAGCTTATGCCAAAGGACACATTAGCAATAGTATCACATTGCTGTCTCAAAGTCATATTGGTTAACTGCTTACGATATTACACAAAAATAGGAATAGTAAAAGCAGACTGTTCCAGCACATGTTAAGGCCACTAGCTCTCTTGAGCTGTGTTGCTTTATCATCTCCTCTCATCAACCTGCATGGGCTTGTGTCTTAGATCTTGCAACTTCAAAAAGCTTGGACAAGTGGCACACCCCCACCCCCCACCATCCTATACTGACAAGCACATGGGGCTTGGGTGCAGAAGTTAGACACCTAGGGTCAGTCGCAATCCAAATAATCATTGCCTCCAGGTTTGAAAAGGAGGGAATCAAAATCAGACAGTAGAAAAATCACGAGCTTCAGTAATGACAGATAATTCTAAAATACTTGCTTTTGGTTTGCATTCATACGTGCTATTCCCTAAAAGAAAGGTAATTCTTAGTATCTTTTAACAGTATGTCCATAGAATATTTACATCTATTTAAGTAGTTATAGAGTTCAACGGTTATTTACATTCTTCATTCTTACCATTTGGTTATATTAAAAAGCAGTAAATCATTATTAAATACCTACATCTAGTTGAAAGGATATTTATATTATTTACATTAAAATGCACAGAGTCAGGGTTTTAAACAGCATTCCAACTTCAAACAAACCACTTGCAAGTTAGAATGCAGTAGGAAAAGACATCTACTACATCAAGTCTGGAATCAGTAACTGACAAGTTAGAAGAAACAAAACATTATGCATGGTTACTGTCTTAACAGCTTATGGACATCACATTGGAAGATTTTACAATTACTAGGACTCATCATTTTACAGATGGCTTCCATTAATAGATTCAGGCTAGCGTCATCAACAACAGCAGGAAAAGAATCAACACAATCCACTTGTTCTATTTCTTCATTGCTTATTGGATATGACTGAAATAGATACCAGCAGTCTTCACCGGCACGTGCTCCAGCCACACCACTCAAGTTGCAGAAGGTGCTGTAGGAGAAGGTCAGGTTCAAGACCATCTAAAGAACCTGAAGGTGCACATGGGGAGTCCATGGGACCTGATGAGATGCATCTGTAGGTCCCGAGGGAACTGGCCGATGAAGTGGCTCCATCATATTTGAGAACTTGTGGCAGTCTGGCAAAGTTCCCGCTGACTGGAAAAAAAGGAAACATAATCCCTATACTGAAAAAGGGAAAAAAGGGAAGACCCAGGGAATTACAAGCCAGTCAGTCTCACCTCTGTGCCCAGCAAGATCATGGAGCAGGTCCTCCCTGACAAATTTAGTGGCCTTCTATGATGGGTTACAATGTTGGTGGATAAGGGAAGAGCAACTGACATCATCTACCTGGACTTGTGCAAACCATTTGACACCATCCCACACAACAGCCTTGTCTCTAAATTCAAGAGACATGAATTTGACGGAGAGACCACTCAGTGGATCAGGAATTGGCTACAAGGGTCACAGACAAGGGCTTGATGTCTAAGTGGAGTTGAGTGGCGTTCCTCAGGGGTCAGTATTGGGATCAGTGCTGTTTAACATCTTTGTGAGTGACATGGACAGTGGGATTGAGTGCAACCTCAGCAAGTTTGCCAATGACACCAAGCTATGTGGTGGGGTTGACACAGTGGAGGAAAGGGAGGCCATCCAGAGGGACCT